GCTTAACAGGCAACTAAATAAGCGTGCATAGTCGTGAGAAAAACATATGAAGTGACTAGCCTATATTTAATTTATAAATTTCCATATATGCATATTTAATAAGTGCTGTTACTGTCAGTTAGGTGTGCAAGAGCATGTAACATCTGTTGCAATGACTTGTTAACATGTATTACAAATAACGCTGGGAATATTCATTAAAATTGTGCAAATTACAATTACTTGCGTAAAAATAAATAATACTTTGCGACTTAATGGCTGGGCAGAGTAAATTTAATGCTGATGGAAAGCGTGTTTGCATTAGCTGCAAACAATGCATTGCTTAAAGGCGTCTCTCCAATGCGAAAATATACATACATAAATTAACAACTACTTCATTATTTATATAAAAAAATTTTATTTTTATATTTTTTTTTTTGCTGTTTATTAGTTCATTGGTGCTATTTTAGGCATACATGTATGTATGGGTGTGTTTGCTGTATTTTAGCATGAACATTATGCGTTTGTAACTGCATTCTTATGCCCTAATTAATTCATTTTGATTTTTTATTGACATATGTAAGTAAGTATATTTTTTTCATTTTTTTATACAACATTTTTTGAAATAAATAAACATTCACTTAATATACTTGCAGTACAATGTACTCCTTTACGTTTTTAATAAGCATGATTTGAAGATTTAAAGAATAAGCAGAATATTTTTTTTAGTGCTCCTAATGATTTGCTCGTTGTATTTTGCTTACGTTAGCATGAATTAAAATCCATTTCGATTTTGATTGCACTGTGAAATAACACTTGCTCGATTTATTTTGAAACATTTTATAATTCTTATATGGAGAAGCGAAAAACAGTAGATATTGAAAATTTTACAATAACAAAAGTTTTTCAAAATAATATCTAAAAACGAACAAGGTGTTCACAAAAAATGGCTTTGGTCTGGCCCTATATTAGTGTTATCACAAAGTGACTCGATGCCATTGATAACAAGGTTAGGCATCCCTTAACCAATGTACAATTTATGTCTAAATTAAGTGTAGGTAGGTAGGTAAAGTGGCTGTCTAACGACGCAACTAGGCCTATAGGAGGCCCATTGTGATACCACCGGGACTAATGTTCCCTCACTCTATCGTCTCCTCTCTGAACCAACCTATGCTCCTGATGCAGCTCATCAGTACAAATAATTTTATAGTAGCAACTTCTGATACGTCGTCAAGAAACCCACGACCGATAGTTGTGATTCTTTTCCTGTATAGAGCTTTACATTCGCATAGAAGATGTTTTACAGTCGCCTCTGTGACCTGTTAGTACTCCTATCAGAGTTTTAATGTCATTCTTTTGAATTTTAATAGTCTTTGTGCGACTCACGCTCCATTCCTGCCATGTTAGCCTGCTGGTTGAGCAGGTTATTGAGAGAGACTCAGCTAGATTTATAGCATGTTCGCTTATTAGGTGCTTGCATGTTGCCAGAGGCATAAAAATACCCTCTTTTTCAGGGGTTAATTGTAGAGTGGTACCTGATCTGGCTAGTTCTTCTGCTTCGCAGTTACCAGGAATATCACTATGCCCTGGAACCCATTGCAGGTTTATCGTAAAGTAGGATGTTAGATCCTCTAAAAGATCAAGACATTCTTTCACTATCTTTGATGGGACCATAGGAGACTTGAGTGATTTCAAGGCCGCTTGAATTAAGTGCAACTTGTGTAATTTTTTATAATTTATAAAATTAATTTTTGCTAATAGTAGCTGCCTCTTTACAAAAATTTTCAAACTCTCATGCAACCTTTCTATAAGCCCATAACTAACCGACCATACCGCTTAATTATTGGATATTCATAATTAAAAAACAACCGTTTTTTATTAACTCTAATTGAGATGTCTGCTTTATATCGTTAACGGTAATAAATTAATATAAAAAAATCTTGTTTTTGCTTTCACAACGCTGCCCGAACAGTTTTTCGCTCCCAACCACCTACAAAAATCAGGTCAAAACTGCTCTTAAATTGTGTTGCAAACAAGTATAAACTAGTCACAACAACGACTACAGCTTTTATACACAATTGAATGCTAAAAAGATTCACTCGAGTCCTTTTTTATGCAAATGTGCAGCCTAAGAAAAAAACCGAGCTTAGCCGGTAGGAAGTAAACGAGAAGACGCGAAACTTTCTGTGTATTATGCAAGCTTCACTATTATCATGTATAGTTTGTATTAAAAAAACTACAAATTATTTTAATTGAAGCAATTGATTTTGATAACACAATCGATAAAGAGGCAACACCGACACACACACACGCGAACAGAGCGATACCAGCATGCACTTGTACGAGCATTTCATGTCAGAGTACCATTTACAAATTGCACTATTGTTGTTGTTAACGATGCTCAAATGTGACAAGATAATTTGTAACCGCTTTCAATTGCGCTGCGTAGCAATCGAGGCGAGGCATAATTGTGGTTTGCTTCAAATGTTTAATGTCGTTTTTTACGATGAAACAAGTATGAACAGCAAAGTAATCATTAAATTTATGCTAAAAAAAATGTGAGTAGTAACAGAGTGTTCCAAAACGGATAATAAATGCTTATCAAAGCTTAAGTGTAAACTAAATGCAACTGTACTACTGACATAACTGTACATTATCAAAAATTTGCTTTTCTTACTTTTTCGAAGTTAGTATTGATTTAAAGCAAAGTTACCGTTCATATAAGTTTTTCTTAAAGCATTGTTTAGAAAATTTTCGGACTCTAATCGTAATATCATGTGTATTTATTATGAAAATATTATACTTTATATTTATATGTGAAATTATTGAAATAACGATTAATTATCAATATGATGATTACTTATCGATTTTTTCACTTATGGCCTCCGGACTTTGCTTTATTCAGATATATCTAATATTATTTGTTATTCAGTGTTTTTAGAAATGATATACAAAACATTAATATACAAGAAATTCTCAATATATTATAGTATATATTAGTTTGTATTGATATTGTTGAGTATTTATTTCAGCAGCCTTTTGTTTATTCCCATATTTTGTTAAAGAGGTCAGCTAGTTTAAAAACTGAGGTTTTTTGGCAAAAATATTTCCTAGAATTGTAGGTTAATAAATTAATAGCCCAGTACTAAAACAAAAGTTGTTGTTAATGTAAATGGAGTCTATAAAAATAGTGTTTAGAAGCAGCGACTGGAATATATATGGGCATATAAACAATTGTTGTAATTTGCTAAGGTTTGCCCTTTACTCAGTGAATATTAACACAGTCATACAAAGGACACTTATGGTGGTGATAATAATGATTAATATGGATATATAGGCACCTTAATTGCCATTGATTTATAATAGTACATAGAACAAAAAAGTAGATAACAAAATATATCGATTCTCAATAATAAATAAAATCTGTTTTCGATCACAAAAATTATCGATTTTCGATAATAAATAAAATCTGTTTTCGATCACAAAAATTATCGATTTTCGATAATAAATAAAATCTGTTTTCGATCACAAAAATATCGATTTACGATAACAAAAAGTCAATGGTGGTAAGCATACGACTAATTTGGTATTATTATAGCTGATGTAGCAAATCACCGATGATCTGCGATTATTTAATTTTTAATTATTTATAATAATTAACTAATTAGAGTAAAATAATGCCATTCATTATTGCTATAATATAATTATTGAACCTAAAAATATTTTATTTAATTAAGTTATTATATAATAAATTTGTTTTTAATGAGTATGCGCCACTAAATAATTAAAACGTGTTTGTAATAACAAAAAAACAAAAATATTTAAATAAAATAAAAAATTTTATTGTGCATTTGCATATAATTTTTTGCAGAACTTCCTACCAGTGGATAAAATACATACGAATTATATACTATTTGTATATTTATGTATATAAATGCATAACTAATAAGTGTCGGCAGATTAGAGGCAAAGGGTGCTGCTGTACTAACATACAATTAATTATTTGTCTTTTTTACAGAGTGTTTCTTTAAAGGTATTCAACTCGCCAGTATTTGAAACTAAAGTAGTGAATATAGTATACATTACGGTTTCTTAAGCGTTGCTGGGTAGAGTGCATTTAAGGGGAGAAAAATTTTAAAGGAATGAAACTGCTATATTTTAGGCTACAATTCACTGAATTAGAAAATAAAAAACGTTCTTTCTAAATATAAATTAAAAGCTCAAAAAAATAAAGAATTACTACAAAATATAAAGTAAAAAACTATTACAAAAAAAAAAATTATAAAAAACAATATTTCTTAATAAAATGAAAAAAATAATTTAAAAAAATATTAAATAGAAAAAACAATATTATAAAATAATTAAAAAAAAGGAAATAATCAGAAAATAATTAAAAAATTATTAGCAAAAAAAGTAAAATAAAATGTACCTATATACAACATATTTTTTTAATTGCGTAAAAACTTTAAAAATGGTAATGTACAATGTACAATTTTATACAAAGTATTTCTAGCTTACTCTCAAATTATTTATTTTATTTCTTTTAAAAAACATTTTCTAAAATTTACAAAATATTTTGATTTAATGAAAATTAGTTTTATAAAATGTATAGAAAAAAAATAAATGAATAAATATTTATAATCAATTTTTTTTTGCAAACATTAATTATTAAAATTTATTTTTATATATAAAATCGCAATCGCCAATAAAATAATTATGTGAAAACTAATATTTTGAAATTACTTCACTTGAGACATTTAAAACATTTTTTGTTATATTGTATATTTTCTTATCAAATTTTACTCTAACCAACAACGCTTGGTGCAATGTAGCAACTACAACAGAAAAATATATATACTTAAAATCGGTAATATATGTATATAAAAGTAAAACAAATTCACTTTGCGAGCTAATAAAATTCTTAAACAAAATGGTTGTGCTTTGTGGATTTTACTGCAGTTGTGGTTCTTTTTTTGTTTCTGCGTGTCGGGTTTGTAATAATGAATAATATTTTCGTTCCTAACCTCGCCGCTCAACAAATCCATCTCATGCGATGCGGCATGCTTTGCCGTTTTTATAATGCTGTAGGTCTTGGCAAAGGGCGCCTTTATAAGCTGATTAATGCGTTAGTAAATTTAAGGAATCGTCAAATTTACATTTGTTAATTTGTATTTTTTTAATAATATATATATTTTTTTTGGTTTGTAGTAATGGAGCAGTAAAATTGTTCACGTTTTAGCGGAATAAGAAAACAGAAAAGAAAAAAATTCAAATGAAGAAAATTTCGTTTAAAATTATATGCGAGAATATAAATGGAAATTTTCCTTCTAAAAATTTTTAAATTTAAATTTAGTTTAATTGCTAAATCGTAAAGGAATCGAGTAAATTATTGGTATATTTTGGCAAAACCTAAAATTATAAATTAGAATTAATAGAGTTGCATAGTTGAGAAAATTTTGATTTGAGACTTACAACTTTAAGAAAACTTATAATTTATAAATATTAAATATTTATCATATATATATTCATAGATATGTAAGTATGTAACGTAATATTTGATATTTTAAATAGTGATGATAATTACAGTAGTTAGCACTGAATAAAAGTAGTAAGTAGTAGCATATAATTGTAGTAAAAGTGAGAAAACTTAATCACGATAAAAGTTAAACCGCTGCAACCGAGGCACACATAAAAAAATCGCTCTTGCCAATTCAAAACTTGTGTACTCACCTCCCACGACTCGCGTGTCAAGTCACTTATCTCCTCGTTTTCTTGGCTGCCACTGCGTCCGCTCTTGCTGGTGCCGCTCTTCGTCCACTCGGTATCATCTTGAATGAGTTCGAAGCCACGCGCTTTGATTTGTTCTTCATTCAATTCACCGTACAGGTGTTGCACCCAGGTGTTTATGAAGCGATACAATTCATCAACGCTGTGGAATGGCGGATATGTTAAAAACAAACATTGAAAATTAAAAAAAAAAACAATTTAAAAGTTTAAAAAAAAAATTCAAAAGTGTTTGAAATTTTAAAATGTACGCGATGGAAATACAAATTCTTTTTGTGTTTTGTAAGCATTTAATATGGAGTTAAATAGTAAGGAAATTTTAAAATAAATTTTTTTGGCATTAAAAAGGTTTTTTTTTTAATTTTGCAACCTTTTTAAGAAAAGATAACCGTGTCCTATCTGTTTAGTTCAATAGCCATATCGTAAAATTTGATTTATGTTTTTAAATTTACTAAAACAGCTTGCAACTCTGCTCGAAAATATTTGTTATCCTTTTTTTTAATCTATACAGTTTAAACCCCTTTTATAATTAATATTTGTTATTAATTTGATTGATTTAAAATTTATAAAGAGCTGGCAACTCTCCTAAAAATATATTTTCAACTGTGTTTTTTTTTAAACTTCACAATTAACACTGATTTTACAATATTTCTTTTTGTTATGAATGTGATTGATTTAATTATAAACATCTGGCAACTCTCCTCCAAAATATTTTTAATTGTGTACGTTTTCAACCATTAGAGTATATTATATTGTAATTTTCATTATTGTTTTAAAATTTATTGAATGTTGTTTATTTATTTTAAACAGTTGTCAACGCTTCTAGGTAAAACTATACAATTGCAAGCTCTTTCAATATCTTAAAAGCATACCCAATTTGAAACATTTAATTTTTTTATTAATTTTATTCATTTACTAATTTTAACTATCCCAAAAAAATATTAGCAGTTGAATACTTTCTTCAATTTTCTAATCATATTTTAATAATTTGTAATATTGATAAGTTCCACTGTAAACTTTCTAAAGTTCTATTTGTCACAAATATGGTTTATTTCGTATATTTTTATCAAATTTATTGCATACAATTTTAAACTAACTTCCTCTTTCATCCAATAAAAATATTGCAATTATACTAAATAATCTCATAAATTTATTTGAATAAAAATTTCAAACTCATGGCAACTCTATTCCAAAAATATTTTTTCCTGTAAACTTTTTAAATTCCCACAGTTTGACGTGCATATTGTTTAGGTTTTTCATTAATATTATTTTCCTTAATATTTTCAAAAATCTGGTAACCATAACAATAAAAATGCGTACACTTACCGATTTTTAGGTACACTAAACCAGTATTCAGGTCTCAATTTATTTTTGCCATACGACATAACAGAAGTCGGTAGCGGTATTGCCTTGCCAATGGGCTTGCCCATGCGCAGGCGTAAGTACAATGGTGGGTCCGGGCAGGCACGTGCCGGTCGTGGTATCAATTCTGTAGTGAAAAGTATTTATTTTTAAATGGCGATAAAGAAAATTATAAGCTACAAGTGCAACATTTAGGCATATCAATATGTAAAATGTATATTAATGTATATACTTATATACATATGCTTATGTATAGGTATATAGACGCAGAAACATTTTTTTAGTATATATAAATTGAAATTAATATCTACAATATTTTAAGCTACAACAGATAAGAGCTAGGAGTCTTTCTAATGCTTGTTATGTTATCGCCAAAACAAAAAATTTAAGAAATTAAAAAATAAACTTTTATGACACACATAAAATAAATATATTGTATTTATAACACTTAAGCTGCAGGCGTTTATTTAGATTGATATATAAATTATTTACAAAGGAAACGCAAACACGGGTCACTTTTTTCTCAATTGAAATATAAAGTAATAAAAAATTAAAATTATTGCTATTTTTACTGCTTTTTATTGTTACTTTAATTTGCCATATTTTTAACTGAATTTTAATATTTCATTCGTTTTGTGGGGTACACTTTGGAATATAGTTTTTGATATATATGTATATACAAGGATTAATATTTATATGTAGAAATATAAATTAATAAATTTACTGTTAAAATGCATAAAAAATTTAGTATACAAACTGTGTCACATACCGACGATATTCAAGTGTGGAAAATATGGCGCCCGAACTACATAGCATTAAATTTTTTCGATTATGAAGTGAGTGAGTATTAGTGTTTTTTGAGTAGTTGTTTTTGTGGCAAAAGTGAATCAAAAAATAAATTCAAAATACGGTAACAAATAGTGAGTTAAATGTGATGTAGCTATTAACTATTAAAAAGAAATCGATAAAAACAAATCTTAAACAACTATCATTATATAAAAATTTGAGCCCAATAAATCCTACTGCGATTTATACCCGAGAAAAATTGTCTAAGATGTCAAAATCTAAGTTGAGAAATATCAAAAAAAATTTTTCAAATAAAAATATTTTTTGTAGCCTTACTGTAGGCACTGACTTAATTGTGCAAAATTTCAAAAAATAAAATTTTTTTGAGCAAGAGAAGAGAGGTAGCCTTATAACAAGACTGATAAGTATACTAGAGCGACACTTTTATCTTTCGGCTTTCAAAATTTGCCACAAACAACAAAAAATTATCTTACAACCAGAAGCTTTAAATTCATGATTCAATAAAAACTCTATTTTTAAGTATAAAAGTGTGAAAATTAGAGCTCATTGCACATATTTACTTAACTTACAAATGAAACCAGTAAATAACTTATAAAATCTAATAGATTCAAATCAACAAAACGTCTACAAAAACTACAAAATCGACAAAATTAATAATATTGACTTACTATCAACGCTAATGAACAATTCCGGTTTGTCGTCAACTGATACCATCGAACGGTAGTCCAATTTCGGTTGCTGTTTCACGTCCTTCAATTTCGTTGTGGAAGCAGTGCCCTCCGACGATTGTGGACGCATAAATGTGCCAATCGATGAGCGTCTGCATGTGGAGAGAAGCCAAATATTAGTTCAAAGCGGAATAATTAAAAAAATTAATATATGACATTTTTTCAGTGTTTTTTTTTTTTGCATAAAGCGTTTTTATTTTCACGCTGGAAATTGTTTGTTTGAAAAAATAGTATGACCTCGTAGCTAGCGTACAACTTAAGCATACAAGGGAATTCGATAATTAACACAAATATTTGTAATAACTTTTGATAATGAAAGATAGTAGTGAAAGTGCTAAATGTTGTCCTACACAAACAGAAAACAATTAACTATTATTTTTTTTACTTTTTAATTTTTTTTTCAAATACATTTACAAATAACAGTAAAGCAGGGTTTACTCCCTCTGTTGTATATTTTATGTAGAGAAAAGTACAGTACTTTTTTATTGAATTTTTATATTCTTAAACACATTGTTTTTATATAAAAGGAGATGCAAACTAAACTTTTTTCTATTAATTTTCGAAAATGTTCACATAAATGTATTAACACAATCAATCGGGGTTAAATAATAAAATTTATTTAACAAGCACACATTTCTAAGTTTTGGCTTATAAGAAATCTTAATTTTTTTGGCTATTTCTCTTTTGTTTACTTAAAATTTTTTATTTCAATTTTCTATTACAGTTCTTTTTATACATGAATTTATTATGCTTTAGTTCTTTAAAAAGTCTGCATAAATCTATATAATTAACATCGTTGGTTGATATGAGTAGAGAAATATATTTTTTGTTGCGCTAAAATGCTTGTGCTTTATTTCTTATTCTTGAAGAATCTCTTGTTTTCTGTAGATTAAGTACTAATTTAATGTTTTTAAGTCAAAAATGAGACGAATCTATGAAGGCTTTTTCTTCTTTGTGATTTTAAAGTGTAGATTTCGCAACCGGATTCAAGAAAAATTTGGTTCTATTAAGTACTCTGGTATGATTCTGCAGCATATCGAGTTTCCGTCATAATTATGAAAGCTTAACGAGCAACAAAAGTCGATTTTTTGGTTTTCGAATTTTCGAACAATCTTCCTTACTCATTTATTCTACATCACATCTCAATTTCGTTTCGATTATTAAAATTAAGAAGTAGCAAATTCAATTTTCTGCAAAAAATATTTAAATTTTCGAAAATAACAAAGTTTCACGAATACATTTATTATTTTACGTTGAACCTATTACTTTTTTTTTATATATTGCAATGAAAGCAATTTTTTTTTAATTTTATTATATCTTCAATATTTCGAAAATAACAATATTTTTTCGAATTAATAATCGAATTACGGTTTTTTGACGCCTGAATATGCATATAATTTCTTGCTATTTACTATATGATATTTATTCAGATTTAATCTAACTTGCAGATAACATTATTTCGTTCTGTTGCAACTCTGACTTAATTCTGCAACATATTTCTTTTTTGCAGTAGTCGTCTTACTTATTAACTATTTATACATTACATCTCAGTTTTGTTTTAATTATAGAAATTTGGAAATAGTAAATTCTATTTTCTGGTTCAAGCCTTTACGAATATGGTTATAAATATTAGTTTTTTGCGTTGAGCCTAAAATCATATACTACCTCTTATTACTTCTTTTAAATAATGCAATGAATCCGAATTTTCGAAAATAACAGACCTTTGTCAAAGAACGGGTACATATATTCATATTTTTTTCGAAATTATTATGTAAATTCGGGAGTTTTGCCGCCTATGTATCTATATAATTTCTGCCTATATCATTATAAAAAAATTAAATCTAAATTTAAGATAAAATTATTTTCCGATATTAATGCGAATCCAAGTGGTGTCAGCAGGTTTTCAAAAAATATTGAACTAACTAAATTGTTACAAAAGGTATCGGTAAACGAAGGTTAACGAAATAAATAGCAGACTTTACTATGAAGAAGTTCTTAAACATCTATTTCATTTAGAAAATACTAAACCAAACAACAGTGCATGGGAAAAATGTGCGGAATAACAAAATAACATTACGCTACACATTTAAGAATTCGAACTTGTGTTATTTACATGAAAGCATAAATGTGTAGTAATTTCGAGAAGGGATAGAAACACATTTAGCAGAATAGTTACACTAAGGTACTAAGAAAAATAAAAATTAAAGGAAAATGGCTTTAGAGCGAAAGCACAACTGGGATAGATTTCGATATTAAATGCAAAATTAGATAATTTTTGTATTGACGAAAAAATATCGAGCATACAATTGATTCGAGCATTACAAAGTAACAAAAAGTTGTATAAACAAATATTTGTTTGGCGGACAGTGAAACGACAAACAAGCACTTAAAAAACCCATTGAACTTCAAATTTTTTGTTTTGCTTGCGAAACGTAACAGTACTCGTGGCCAATGCTATTAGTCAATATTCGATATTCGAAGTTAAATGCAACAAAGCAACTAATTCTTACCCAATGGAAATATGACCCTCGGAATGAGTTGAATGCGGAGTCAGTGGTGGCACTGGTGAGCCACCAGAGTCTTCGGACGGTGTTTTTGAAAATAAATTGCCACCCAACTCTGAGACCAAAGTAATGGGTGAACTGTGAGTATTCGAATCAAAACAAAATAATAATTGTTGTTTTTGTATGCAGTTGTGTGTTAGATTTCAGGTTGAAAAAAAGGTAAACGAAAATGTTTAGGTGGCAGCATGGTGTGTTCATTTGTACGGGCGTTTAATGGTTGGTATTTGGTAAGTGCACGTTAGGTATTGAATAAAAATATATATTTATAATTTATATAAATATGTAATATATATGTGTTTGGGGTAGTCGTATTTTTTACAAAAAAAAAAATAAGATAATAATAAAAATATTCCAATCGCCGCAAGTTCAGTGAGCAGTGTTTGAAAAATAATTTCGTTCAGATTTTTGGAAAGGAAGAAAATCAAAGGAAAAAATTTTATACCAATTATTTTTTTGTTTATCATAAATTTCTTACAATATTACTAATTAAACTAAAAACAGTATATGAGTTTCAATAACTGTAAAACTGTTTGTAAACCGCTTATATGACGCTGAACTCACCTTGAAAATACTTTCGAAAATACGCTTTGATTCGAATCGCCCGTGTTGGGCGCCGATTCAGAGTCCGCCGACTTGCCGAGGCTGCCACCAGTGCCCGGAGGTCCGCCAGCTTCTCCAGTTAGGCCTTCCACCCAAGCCAAGGGATATGATAAGCGTTTCAACATCTGCAAAAGCATAAAAATATTGTCATTTCATTTTTTCTAACACACTTTTATTTCATTTAGCTTATACTTTATTCTTCTTCTCAGCATTCTTGTCACCCTGTGCGGATGCCGCTGTCACCGCCGCCACAGCCTGTTGCTCGCTATTGTTATCGTCAACGCTGAAGCTGACGCTAGTGGTCTTCTTGCGTCCACCAACCGTGCCCGCGTCAAGGTTTTGTGCGCTCAGCACTGAGCTGCGCGGCGGCGATTCGCTCATTAGTGTCGGCGAGATGGTCTTCGGTGGCACCCAATCGGAGCTCAGCACAATATCGGCATCACTATATACGGTCTTCTTTGGTATGGGCTGCAAATTTGCAATGGGTTCACGTATATCGATGCCCGAGTCATAGCACGATTGCTTAGCTAGCTCCTCCAGGTGTTCTAGATCGGCGAGCGCCAGACCGCCAGGCAAATGCAAAGCGCCACTAGCCGCACCAATGCCGCTAATCGAGGAGGTGGCCGAGTGTGGATCCTGCCCACGGGCACCGCTATCAATGGTCGTTTGCGATTCGTTGTCGCCTTCGTCTTCCGATGATCTTCGGGAATTAAGATAATAGAGGCTGAATTTTTACAATTTTTTCGAATTTTATACAATATTATTATTTTTTTTTTTGAAGTAAGTGCACGCGTATGTTGTTGTGATGGTATTCAAATTACGTTCCATTAAGAACGTTTCGTTATGGAGGCAAATGATGGAGAGTAGCAGTTGTAAAATAATATTGGTAGGAGTTTCACATAATTAAAAGTAAACAGTTAATAATTATGTGTGGATAGTTGTGGCCAATCGATGTCGGGTTTTTTCGGATTTTTGTTTTCATACACAAAATGTGTGTGTGTGTATGTGAAGCGATTTCACAATTCACATATGAAAATATAGGAAAATAAAAATTTACAAAATTAAAATTTCTATGTTTTGCGACTTTATTTGGTAAATAAATACTACCAATTATCGTATATAGACACACATACACGCGCTCGCTGTCTTGGCATGCGTAGTTATTAGTCAGCGTGCGAAAAGAGAAGCACGAGACAGCAGGAATAGTGAACAAAAGTTAAATTTACGTCAATAATTTACGACTCACTTTTATTACGATCTATTTTTGATTAGTGCTAATTGGTAAGCTGATTTTAAAAATTATTTTTTTATAGGAAAGATGTCATTAGCGGTAGCCGATGGTTACGCGGAAAAGGTGGTGCCAGCTTGTTAGAAAGCAAGAAAGACTAGAGCACACTTTGGCAAAGAAGTTATTTTGCAGCGAAATGGCTTCAAATAATTGCAAATGTGTTTTCTTATAAAAATTTTGAGGCCTGCAATAATTTGGAACAACTTAATTGAATTAAAATTTAAATTTGCATATCGTATTACTTTTAAAAAGTAATAAATTTTTACTTTCCTAAAAATTTCACAAAAAAATTATAGTTTTTCTACAAAACAATCAAATATACCGTTATAAAATGCATACAAATTCGAATATCATTGAATTCTGCGCAGTTTTAATCATCTGAGTGTTAAATATTTACTGAATTTAATTTGATTTTGTTATCAAGGAAGCGAAAAAGATACTCGCTGCATGATTGATGTTGGTAAACAAAGCCTTACGTATATAGTAATCGTATTGGAATTTGCAATGGCGCCAGATAAAGCTTTCTTTTACGATAAACTTTGCGATTTTCTATTATATATACTACATATTGCTAATGATTTATCTTTCAGCCAGCAAATTAAATTTTTTGCTAACGAAATTGTTTCTTTTTAGCTCTGTCAGAATATATGAAGGGCAACATAAAAACTTCCGTAAGTGACGCAGAACACTAGATAGTAACCCTGAATTGCTCATACATTATTTAAACCAATACACGAAAGTTACACAAGAAAATTTACGTGGAAAAGGAGAGACAAGCACAGAGACGTATACCAGTACATAAACGTAGACAAATGCATGCAAAAATAGAATGCTAAATGTTGGTTAATCGAATGCTGATCGCTTACCGATCTTTGCTCGGTATGGCCCAATGGTGATCCAATAGACTTTTGCGTCTTTCCTCCAGTGTGGTGCGTGAATCGGTGAGGTTAAGGGTTTTCTTCAAATCATTTGCATCAGCATCGTCTTCGGTTTTGTTGGCTTTCGTGTTGACCTCATTATCAGTCTTAGCACTTTCTTCTTTGGCTTCTACACACTTCTCTGCGTCTTTTTGCTAAACATTAAAGTGCATTATATCATCATTTCATGTATGCATATGGAAATGTGAAGTATTTACTAACCTCACGTTCGCCCGTGTTAGAGCATAACGACTCCTGATCGTCACATGTCTCCATAGAACCACCTGTTTGTTAAATACGTAAGTATATTAAGTGATTTGAATAATGTAGCAGTGCATATTTTATTTGTTTACGCAATTATGTACACACCTGTAGCGCTTTGCTTGCGCGCACCGCCATCACCTTCATCTCCTCGCTCTTTGGCTTCTTTAGCCTGTTTCGCTTCTAATACTGCTTGTGGATAGTAGATTTCGGCATTTTCATTTTGTTCGGTATTTATACCGCCAGACACACGCATATGCGCTATATCGTGAAAGATGGCTGCATTCACCACCAATTCCATAGGTGCAATTACACCGTAACTCTCCGGTCCATGTTCAATCACTAACGGATCGGAGACATTCGGATCGAACATAACGGCGTTAGGTGTGACCAAAAGGACACCACCCACAACACCTTGTCCATCCGTGATATGGCGTACATTGATTTTGAGGAAACGTTGTGTAATGACGGGATCGTCACTTTTATTTGCTTCGGCTTGTGCATTGTCGGTGCTCTTTGCAGAATCGACGCGTTCTATGTGACCCGGCTTAGGTGAACCCGGGCGGAGACCTTCTAGTATATCTGTAAGAATTTACAAGAGAGAGAGAGATAGTATATGGCATTAGCATTCAATATACAAAATTTCATTATAAGTTAAAGATAAATCCGTTGTAATAAAAGTAGGTCAAGACACAGCGTGCTTCCAGCTGAATTCATTACAAAATTAACACGAGTCTGACTTTAGAAGCCTACGTTAACAACTTTTTCACTTATCAGCTAATACAATAAAATATAGTAAGGTATTACTATAGCTATGTATGTATGTATGTATATAACCCGTGAGAACTAAAAAAAAACTTTTGGTTTTGGAAAATCGAAATCAACTTTTTGTTGTATTATAGTTGTATGGAACGTAAGGTCTAAACATGAGAAACTAAGTTAAAATAATTATGTGCTATTATAAAATCGTAAACTGTTTTATAACAGCACTTTAAAATAATATCTAGATAAAAGCAATAATATAACTGAATGTTTACTAAATGGTAAAATCTGGTAGGTAAAAGTACAAGGAAGCTAACTCATCAGTTTCTCCATATTTTACTCTGTTTATAGTAAATTTTCAATTTCTTAATTAATATTTAATTAAGAGGTGGATTCTGGATTTTGTTATTGACGCCAAGTAAACAGTCTTTGGCTAGTTAAAATGCACATTCAGTCCAGTCTGACGTTGGAAAAGTCTTAGACAACGATTTTTAAAAAAAATGTTAACAAAAATATTAGAAGTCTTATCATCAGCCATTAATATGGAGCAAAGTATTTGGACCAGCTTTGTTTATTGTACATAAATATACACAGCCACTATTTACACAGATGTTAAAAAGATGTGATAATGGTTTCGTCGAAAAACATGTGTACATATTTCAAAAGTATAGCCCGTTTTTTAGTAAAAATACTTTACTGTTTATAATCTTAATACTTAAAAACTATCAGAAAAATACTTTAAAGTAGTTAGAGTATTTGCATATGTATATAGAATGTTCACCTATAAAAGTTAACAGAAATCGCATGACAAGTTCAGATCTCTAAGCTTCAGAGCGAACAATAAATTGTCATAAATTTAGAAGCATTTGTTCACACAAAGGTAAATATACACACAACTAACTGAAGTAATTTAACTTTTATTGACCCTAGTCATGTGCATTAGGAATAAATATGTTAAGACTTATATAATGTCAAAATATTTAACAAACTACTGCAGTGGCCACTTTCTTCTACTTCAACTAATAGTTAACAATAATTTGTAGTATGTACATTTTATCAATTTCGATCGATAAGAGCGACGTTAAAAAAAAAAGAAAAAATGTGAGCTTCGGTTACACTTAAGGTAGAATACCCGTCATAAATAAAAAAAAAGTTTCCATACAGCAACTAGATTTTGGTCGTTCAATTTGTATGACTATAGTGATCCGATTTGAAAATTTTCAACGATCAGTTGGTATGGCCGCTATATGCTACTGTGTTTTGATTTCGGTTCCGTTTCCGGAAAAGAGAATCATCTTGAGGAGAAGAGGACTTGCGCATAATTTCAGATCGATATGTTAAAACATATGGACTAGTACACATATATACAAACAGACGGATGAACAGACGAACATGGCTAAATCAACTAAGCTCATCATGTTGATCATTTTTATATATGTATATATTTAATAGGGTCTCCGACGTTTCCTTCGGGGTGTTACAAACTTCGTGGCAGATTTAATATACCGTGTTAAGGGTATAAAAATAATAGACAACAACAAAAATATATTTAAATATTAATGGTCTGATTAACACCTTTTATGCAATATTAATATAGATAAGACGTCATATGAACATATTTTAATAAGTTGGGTGAAGTAAAATTAAAATCACTCTACAACAAAATATACACGCTGCACATAATGTGTAAGATCCCATATGGTCTAGTGGCTAGGATATCTGGCTTTCACCCAGAAGGCCCGGGTTCGATTCCCGGTATGGGAAAATTTTTTGCACATTTTTTCAGACAAAATGTTTATTTATATTGGAGCTTTTTTCACTAAGAACTGTGCACAATTAATATTTATTTTATTATTAAGTTTTAAACATTTTCAATAAAAACAATTTACAGCAATAAGAATGTGAGAAATTTTTCATTATCACTTCAAGCAATTAACAAAGGTTTAAAACTTCTTAATTTAATTAAAATTTTACAGTAAAGGCATTTGCATTTGATTCTTTACACAGCACCAGTTAAAAATTACAATTTATGTGGCCATGAAATTTTGAGTTTTTTTCGATGGCCGGCTAACATAAAAAAAAACCAAAAGCTGCAAGACAACCTCCCTCGTTGTTCTGCATGTGACTGGCTGTAATTGGCAGCCCTTATTAAAAGTTTGTTTTTTATTCACACAAATTTCTTAACAGTTAGCACAGTTCATGTATTTTGGATTTATTCGAAAGTGTAAATAAAAAACTTGTATATTTGTGTTCACCTCCGTTACGCCAAAAGACCGCTGTGTGCATTATAAGCACTTTTTATTTTCTCCCACTCGACGTTGAACTAGTCAAATTGGGCTTTTCTTTCACACAAAATACACTAAAACTTTGCAGTTATTAACGTCTCTCCATTAAAAATTCTTTCAAATTAAGTGGAAAACGGTTTTTGCAATAATTTATACAACTCTAAAGAATGATTATTTGCAGAACTCTTGTCTGCTGTTATTCATACGCTGTTGTTTTTACGTGTGCTAAGTCAATGACAGGCAAACGTCAATAGCATATGTGTTGGAAAAATGAACGAATGAGAATATGTAAACCGCTGAATAAAGGATGAATGGCTAAACTACGAATAAGTAAACAAAACGAAATAACAGTTGACATTTAATGCTCTTAAGTGATGCCACATGTTTTTGTATTAAAGCAATATTTCTTAGCGAAAATTAATCAAGTTGGTACTAATTAGACCCATAAAGTTTTGATCGTAAGAAATTTTGTATTATCAGAGAACGTAAATAAATTCATTTACGTTCTCTGGTTTAATGTTATTGCTCCAAAAATTATTTTAATGAGGAATTAAGAAAAATTGTGAATTAACTTTAAATTTAAAATTATTTGTGTTTAAAATTAAAAGAGATAACATATATTCTTTTTAAGAGGCGGGAATACAATAAAAACTATTAAATATTTATATTTCCTATAGGACTTTCTAGGGAAACCTGTGGCGTTATATAAATACATATTTTTATCATACATATATGTACATACATATGGTATATTGTTATCTCTAGTATTTCTTGTTCGTTTCTGCTAATATTGACTATGTGGAAGGAAAAACCTGAAGAAAGAGTTAATTGAAAAATAAAAGGATAATAAATAAAAGATTAAGCAAGAAAACACGTTAATTTCGGTTGCACCGAAGTTATAATACCCTTCATAAATACAAGGGATTCCAAGCAAAGACAGGATTTTGATTGATCAGATTGTATGGCAGCTACATACATATATGCCATGGTGGTCCGATCTGAACAATTCCTTCGGAGATTCTATATGCTTTGAGCAATAACTATGCCGATTGTGAAGATATCTCGTCAAATAAAAAAATTATTTATACAAGTACAGGATTTTGATCGATCAGTTTGTATGGCAGCTATATGCCATAATGGTCCGATAATGGCAATTGTGATAAATAGCTGCTTTTGGGGAAAAAATTACGTGTTCAAAATTTTAGTTCGATATCTCAAAAAACTTAGGCTCTTCGCGTATATACAAACGGATAGATAAAAAGATTACAGGAGCGAAATAATCATACATACATATATTATATATTTACAAATGAAAAGCCACTTACAATTTTAGGGACTCGTCATCAAAATTCTAATATTGACTACAATTTCTTACATATTTTGGATGCACAATATTGATTCCTTGATTACTAATTTTACTTTAAAATGTTCCCAACTTTAAAACATTTTTCTTTATTTGTTTAACTTTCGGCAAATGCAAAACTCACCATTTTCATCATTCTGTTCATCGGTGGTTGATAATTTGCGATCGATGGGGCTCGATTTGCCCGATATGCTGGCGTTGGAGCCCTTCTCATCGATGCCAGTCGCACTGCCACTGACCGAATCATTCTTGGCCGCACTCTTATCCGGCACCAGCAACTGTTGGCCCGGATAGATGAATGAACTGTTCAAACGATTGAGATGTGTCAACTCTGAGGGTGTAGTATCGAAACGTGCGGCCACCGAGGTCAAGGTATCACGATTACCCACAGTATACGATTTGGTCGGTATGGTGGGCAGCGAAGACTTTTTGCGCTCATCTAAAATAGGCGGTGTTGTGGATTAAGGTGGACAAAGTTAAGACAGGAAAGACCAGGCGGATGTGTGGCAAAGGCGGAGCAGAGAAATTGGAAGAAACAGAAAAAAGAACATAATTAAATTAATTTATTGAAAATAAATGATGTTTAAAAAATTATAATAATAAATTAATTAATAATGAAATAATTGTTTTACAAGTACAGGCTTTGTATACAATACATAAATAAATTGAAGTTAGCAATGTGTTAGTATATAGGAAAAAATCAATGTAGAATAAACAAACGCACTTCTCTTACAAGCCGTTTCAGGTTCATGGCTTTTTGTCTTCGTTATCACTTTAGTCGTTTGCTTGAAGATTACAAACTTGTCATAAGCATTAGCTAGCAGCTTTTGCAAAGCGTTCCCGTGTTTATCACTGACGTCACCAACACCGGTCACCGGCCAAGCCCCACTACACACATTGTTCGCTTTGTTGGGCCGACACAGGTAAACAACAACAAAATTGGGTAAATTTTCTTTATGCCGAAATATTTGTACACTTTTCATTTCAAATTTGCCGCACATAATGCACTAAACGACGACTAAATACAACAAACATTTGCCGCAAAAATACACACACACAAGAAACTGAACCTTTCAAATTCAAATTCAAACAAACACGTTTAATTCATAATTAAAGCCGACTGACTACTACACTTCCATGAATCATGACTGCCATGAAAGATTTTCATTTTTGATACAAGTTTCATTTTCGTAAACAATTGAGTGAAAAGCTCAGGTTACGTTAGATACATAAGCGATTGCTTTAGCGGCTCTTAACGAGTGTGTAACACCTCCGCAATTTCTTATTTTATAATTTTTTTTTAAATGACGTTTTTTCACCAGCACAACCCTCTGCGTGCTGTTAATCGTTAGCACAAAAAATAATCGTAGTCAAATAGACAAGCACGTCCGTCCCTCTCATTACCGATGGAAGTTATGAGATAATAGGCGAAAAAACTGAGAAAACCGCTATGCCGTTCCTGTGTTTGAAATTCAAAGGCAAACATCTAACTAATTGTTGGTTTTGTGTAAGTTTTTACTAGCGATCTGGTTGCGCTTTATTTTTATTTATTTATTGTTGTGTATTTTTTTGTTTATGATTTATATGGTGCATTTGCTTTTCATTACGTTCTCAAAGTTGAGACATAGCGCTCGTTTTTATTGAGTTTTATGCGCAAATGAGTAAAAGTGAGTGCAGTGTGCACATACATACACACATAAATATTCTTTTTGTTTATTGTGATAAGTTTTATTGGCTTCGCATTTCATTTATGACATTCTCTGTGCTATGAACTAAAACTCATATATGTATGTATGTACGTAAACTGCTGTCGCTGCAGTAAATTGGCCAGTTGGCCAGTGGAGCTGGCAAAGTGTGCGCCACAGTTGAATTCTAAATACCAAATAAGTAAATAAAATTTGAGAGAGAGAGGCCCTACAGATTTAACGGTAAATTTGCGTATAAATTTTGTATGACATATTTTGTTAATCTTCTTGTACAGGAACATTTTGCAAAACCTTTTTCAAACATATTCTGAATAAACTATGCCACTGAATTGGTGTTACTAACAAGGTAACACCCGTAATACACATCCAGGTTGGTATCTGAGTGGTTCAAGAATGCCAATGTAGAGTGACTTTAAAAGAAGATTGGCGGTCTTTTCATTTCAAAATAAGGAGCAATTGTGGTAGAAAGCGAGAAACTATGGAATCCATGGAAACCATGGAAACCTGCCTAGAGGTTCTACAATCTATGCTGAAATTAATTGGAAAATTTATGCAAAACCATGGAGAACACACTGATTAAATAACTTAAATTTTTTTGTTTTCATTAGAAAAGAAAACAAATTATGAACCCAGTATTTCCACCAACGACATTTCCTTGTTTTTTTTTTTTTTTGGTATAATATTCGGAATTTTCAGTTTTAAAATGATACTATAGACTGAAGTAGGCACAATACTAAGGAAAATGTAAGACTGCAATTAATTTCGAGAGCACACTCAATTTAATTCTAATCCTAAAATTGACTAAAGTAGTAAGGCCCGTGACAACAAGCTGAACCTTTCCAACTGCAGTCGGGTGGTCTATGTAAGCAAAACGCACTTGGATTTTTATTCGGCCAAAGATTTGCCAAGACTGTCTGCATAATTTCAAAAAATAATTCAAGGCATGCTTTCTTCAAACTTGGGCTCAAGGTCTTAAAACAGGGTAGGTAGTAGGAAATAATCTTATCAATAATAGACAATCATAAAAAAGTGGTATATGGCCAATTCACATAGAACTTTTGCTTCGCTTTGCGTCAGACATTTGTTATGATAGAAAAGTTCGATGTACGTTTTTGTATGAGTACGTTCACATTAAAAGTTTTCGTCGCGACGCTTAGCAAATGTTGTGCAACTCTCATCTTTTTACGGTTTGCTAAGTTCACTTTCACACAGGGATTCAAAGGAGTCTGATGTTTTTCAAATTTTCTTTTGGTGTCGCTCTGGGCATTCACACGGTCAAAAAGAGTCCAGCAACTCGAGTCTAGTTTTTCTGCATTCCTTTTCACAAAATTTTCGTAAATAAGGAGAAAATTAAGATATAGATTATGGAGTAAAGAAATTATGAGTTTTTAATACTTAAAGATTAGGAAATTCCTATTATAAATTTGGCCTTGAAAATATTAGTAGCGGATATTCAATACATTTTTGTGGATTAGGAAATTCCCATCTTTAGTATTTCTTTGAAACTATTTAGCGGGTAGGTACTTGTATTATGCATATTGTTCTACCATATTCATAATTCATTGCAAGCAAAATGTGTGACCATCATCTCAACATACAAATGAAATACGCAGCACGCAGTGTTGCGCAGTCGAACCGCACAAATATTTACGAAAATTTTGTGAAAAGGAATGCAGAAAAACTAGACTCGAGTTGCTGGACTCTTTTTGACCGTGTGAATGCCCAGAGCGACACCAAAAGGAATTTTGAAAAACATCAGACTCTTTTGAATTCCAATGTGAAACGGCACTTACGAACAAGAACACAAAGCGTGCCACCCGAACACGAGTGGCACGGTCCCTTCGTCTTTCCTCGTCGTCCCCTCGCCCACAATAAACTGGTATGAGACTCTTTTGAGTCCCTGTGTGAAACGGCACTAAGCAACTGTCGCTACTTTTATTAGAGAGAAACACTGAAAGCAAAGCGTTCATTGCGGCATACCATTTGTTTTCTGCGCTTCGTTGTTTCACTATGAACCGTCACGTAAAGCGAGGAAGTTGTATGTGAATGGGCCTTTAGTGCAGCTCTAACAGTCCTTACTTTGACAAAATGTAGTCTAAATTCAATGTCTTTTATAGATTTTCTTTTATGAGAAAAGTATTCCAACATACTCATATTACTGCAAGCATATATACATACACTTTTTTTATATATAGACAACTTTTTAACAATTTCAGCCCCGCACCTAAACCGACTGTCTGAAATGTTTTTCTTGATATATTGAAATCTGACTTAGACTTTAGTTCACACTTTCCCAATCGACTTTTTCGGACCATAAGTTGTCATAATTAGTATCACTTTTAGACGGTTGCTGCGATTTATCAGAAAAGTGAATAAATATCGGCATTAAATACTTTATTGTACTCGGCAGCTGAACTAAGCCTAAATGCAACAAAACTCCAAGAAATCGTCGAATATCTTCACTTGAGCACTTTCGTACTCTTGGAGGGCGTTTAAATTGCTCTGTTGATTAATCCGTTTGGTTATTGCGTCATCAAAAAACGTGCTGAAATATTGAATTGACTGATTTACTATGCTAATATCTTCTTCGTACACTTTCCAAGTAACGTCTTGAATCTTGATTGGTTTTTTCTTCATTTCAATTGTGATACATCAACTTTTTTAACAATAAAGTGCTCTATATTTTTGGTCCTTCAGTAATTTCTTGGTTGGCAATCATTTCTAGTAAATCGATTTCTAATTTATCACCCTTTTCTAAAATCTCTTTAAAACCTCTCTCTAGAAACTCATCGTCATAGTCTTTGTCCCAATCCATCTCCAAACTCTGCATCACACAGCCCTTGCGTGCTTTATTCATCTTAATATTATATTTGTATATATAAAACTGTGTAATTATTTACTTGATATTTATTTTTCAAGTATTTTAATTACTTTTTTCTAAACTACGCAAAAATTTCCACTCCACCGACACGCTCAACTTCGCTTCGACTAAGAACTCATAACACGATTCATCAGTGCTATACTTAATTTTTTTCAAAGGAAAGCCGTAACTGTTTCCTGCCGCACTTGTTTGCGCGCTTTGCAATTTTTCGGCTCTGCATATCATCTTCATATGTATTTATGTATGCTCGTATAATGTATTGTATAATATTATAAACGTAAGCATGCACATACATGTATGTTACAGTTAAGTATACAATTTTTTTTTTTCAATTTCGATAAGAAATTTAGAAAAAGTTATATTTTTATTAAAAAAGTACATATTTTTGCAACATTCATATGTATTTATGTATGCTCGTATAATGTATTGTATAATATTATAAACGTAAGCATGCACACATGTACATGTATGTATAAGTATACAATTTTTTTTTTTCAATTTCGATAAGAATAAACCGCAATATTATTTTTATATTTTTTATTTAGAAAAAGTTATATTTTTATTAAAAAATTACATATTTTTGCAATCCAGATAAGTTTTTACAATTTCTTTAATATAATTTTTTTTTAAATATATCCGAAAATATTTTTAATAGAAAAATTTAATAACGATCCGTTTTTGTATTTAGTAGAAGTTATATTTTGCTTAAAAAATTAAATATAAAAGCAAATAACGAATTAGAAAATCTATAACAAGACATCATACCCTTCTTTCTAATTTGTAGATTATATCGGAATCTCCAAGTCCAATTCGCATATTTACCATAAATACACACATATACTTGTACGAGCCAACTTTTCAGCTTACTTGAAGCTGTATCCAGTAATAGCGTAGAACTAAATGCATTCGCAAATTAAAATAATTTTCAACTTACGCGAATTTTTCAATTTTCGATGCTATCATTTTTCGAAAATGTAACCACTAAAAGTTTTTTGTCAACATTTCAAATTTGAGAACCAGTCTCAAGTAGATACACATTTTTTTATTTTTCTAAAACATTTTTAAACCAACAAACAATTTGTTTTTACTTCTAAGTCTCTAAAAATCCGATATTTCTTTTATGTAAATGTCGAAACGATAATGTTTTAATCTAAATAATTTTATTGTTTTAATTTTTACTATCCGTCGTCGTATTAACAGTTTATACAGCAGTGTTGTCACTAAATATGGTATATAAATATCTATAATTCATTATATATATAAATGTATGTACATACTTGTACATATGTATTCGTGTTCTCATGTTTAGCCATTTGTCATTTGAAATTGAGCGGTTTTTAATGCCCAATTGAAACACTTCTAATTGACGTTGTTTATTTATTCTTTAATGATTTCCAATTGAAATGCGACAAGTAACATAAATAACAAGTGTACATTTTTTGTACTTCTGTTTAAATAAAATTTAATAACGAAGAAATTTCTGTGGAAATATTTCGTAATATTATTGACTTCAAACCTCGAAATTTCAATATAAACTTTCCCAGCTTAAAGCTTTCGTCATTATATTCTGCATGAATTCAGTTAGCAGTGTTTTATGTAATTTTATTGTACACTATGTTCTAATTTAAAAGGGTGGCCACTCTTTCATACAATATATTTTGTAATTTTTTAAATGGCTGGAAACTCTACTTTAAAATATTTTCTGCCCAAAAATTACCTCATTATCTGTTGTGTGCATCCAGATAGTAGTATTCTTATCGCTTTTTGTCTAAGGTGGCAACTCTGATTGAACTATACCATATCAGTATTATTATATATCTTTCTGAAACACTTGTCAGTTTGAGCACATTTTATCATTTAAGTAATATTGTAATACATTTTATATATTTCTTTAAGCTGGAAACTATTTCAAAAACATCCAATATTCATAGAAATAATTCTATGTTCTTATGAAACTACCCAAAAAAGCCTGACGCTGCTGCCAAAAAAAAGGAATAAGCTTAAAAGAATCGGAGTCAAAAGGCAACGATTAGGGCTTCGGTCTCTTCAACTAAGCAGCTAAAAACTAAAGTTGAATCTATTGTATATATGCATATCATATATAGATATGTATGTATATAAAAATTATATGAATCTAAGTATGCATACATGTGTATTTAATATGTTTCCTATGTTAATAGATTTTAAACCGAAGTATGTACATTTGTATGTATGTATGTGGATTTGAACAGGTAAGGAAGGTCTAAGTTCATTTTATACTCTTACAACTTGCAAGGAACAACGGCGAGGGAAGACCTTCAGGTTTTCATATCAAAGTAAAGAAAGTATGGCCGTGATTTCATTCATTTAAGATTTCTTACATAATAACCGATAGATGTGGTATAAAGTGAACAGGTGGTTCGAAAATATTTATGGGGGCTAAGGAAGTGTTGACGAATATGCTTTTACCCATTTTTGGCACAAGTAAGATGAAATACCTTGGGGGCGCTAATTGATGTTTCATTTATATACTGTAAAGTGAAATAATCAGACGGAATTAAATTTCGGTGACACCCGAACTTAGCACTTCCTTATTTGTTTCCATTAATTTTGTTTTTCAATAGTTTATTCTTTTTATTAAATTAAAAGCGTTTTCCATGCTTAGTCACATAGTAACGGTCTTTTTACAGCAGCAGTTTTCGGTGCGCCTATAAGTATGCAGTGAAATTTAAAACACAATTGTAGATAAGTGTGAGGTAGTATTGGCATCTGGTGTGCGACTTGGCTGAGAATTAAGCAAAAAATTGCCGCAAATGAAAATGCTTCAAAGTGGTTGTTGCAGTTATGTGATAAAATTAGCACACATACATAGAAAATATTAAACGTTACTACGCGTAAACGAGTATTAGAATATATTTCTGCAAAAGAGAACTATTTTACAAAGGGGTTAGAGATTCTATTCAGACAAGCATCCGTATTAAAGTATAAGAATGTTTCTTATAACATGGTGGCTTTTTCTCCCTGATAATACTGTGTCATACCCAAAGTAGTGTCCTAAGTAGTTTAAAGTTAAACTCCTCTGCAACGATATCGTGCAGAATATATTTTCAATTGCAAAGGGTCTCGGTCAACAATCTTTCAGGTGATTTTAATGCGAAAGCTCGGATATCACTTTTTATTTTTGCTAAAAATTTTATAAAGTCCACCCTGTTGATATTAAAATAGTTCTATCGTTAATTGATTGATCGCTGTAATGCTGTACATACATGTTTATTCAAATATACGAAATAATCAACCTTCCTTAGTACCCGTTAAAAGAGTATTATGAATAATTTGGAATACTAACATTAATCCGAACTAAAACACATACATATTTATTGTTGACGCCCGTGGCAATTCCACGTATATGAAATACAAGTGCCAATTAAAATGATTAAAAAGAAGGCTCTGTTGTTACTCTAACGAGACATATACAGAGCTTCATACCCAAATCTAACCTAGATTTGTGGTAGTGACAAGACAAACGAATTGTCAAATTTTCTTAGTGAAGCCTTTTCTTCCTTTCGTTGATGACAACAAGGGTCACGTGACGAAATTTACGTAAACTCCATTTCTACCATTAAAGCTCAACAAAGTGCCGAAGCCGTTCCGATGAAGATTGCCATTATTGAACGAGATTCGACAAAGCACCTCCAAATATTCTAAGCGATTTTGCATTGAACTGATATCGAATTAAAATCAGCCAGGACCCCGTTCCGGAGTTTAAAATGGTTAATAAGAGCAATAGATAGGGTTTATTGCACTACGTGATGTATGTATCGCTGACGTTCATGAATTTTCTCGAAAATATCTATGTTAAAGATGAGGAATTATTGTGAATGAAAATCGTTTCGCGACAATGAAGAAGCAAAGTCTATCTCGATGACTTGATAGACTCAAGGAAGCTATTTATTCAAAATACCTTCGTAAAAGACAAAGAGGTTAATATTTAAGTTCCAGTACTCACTTGTCAATCGATCAACGCTTTCAAAGCGTCCCTCCACCTTCGAGCGCAGTGAGTCCAAATCGAATGGCGCAGCAAGGCCATGATCAACGCTACGTGATTTGCTCCTGTAAAAGAGAAAAACAAGAATAACAAATAAGTCACACGCTTCATACAAAAAAAAAAAAAGAAACAAATTAAACAAACCGATGATAATGCAAGTACCTATGTACCTAAAAATAGTTAAGAGTATGAAGAGCCGACGGATATGATAAATACCATACAATATATACAAGTATAGTATGTGTATGTGTGTATATGTGGCATGATCAGTTGACTGGGTAGTCATGTGCTACCAGCATTCCAGTAAATATTTAGGTATGTTGAGTTTATGTCTTCACATTTTCAGACAGCGGCATTAAAAATATTTTAAGTTTAATATAAAATAAGGCTGTGAACAAGAAATATGCATATACTATGTGTTTGTGAATATTGCGATAGTGTCTTTAGCGATTTAGTGGAAATATTTATTAGACGTCTTGCATTTATGTGGAAATAGCCAAATGTGATATTATTGCGGTACTAAATGCAATTTCTTAACAGATATACATATAAACATATTAATAGATACATGTGTGTATATATATTTGTATAGCTGTAGAATATACGTTTTGGGTTTTCATATCTCTTGCTGCATCGACTACGACGGTTAAATTTTTTGTTAATTTTTCTTATATTTGAAAACAATATCTTTTGTAATGATGTGAGATGCACTATATATTAGCAAGTTTTTATTTGGATCAACATTACTTTTAAAATGCTGGCATGACAGCTCTCCAACGAGCTTTAAGCTTCTGGTTATTTTAGAAGTTTTTTCACGTCAGAAATAAGATATTCGGATTTTTGATGTTTCAAATTAAAGCTTTTTCTAAACTTTTAAGCTTTTGTCTCAATAAACTACTAGTTCGAAATCATTAAAAGTTTTTCGTTATATAAAAATGTTTCCATTTCTGTTCGCCAAAGATAAAAACTTAATTAGATTTAAATTAGATAAGGCATACTTCTTTTTGAACTTTACGCTTTAAGAATGAGAAGAAATAAACGCTTTTAGAAATTTGAATTTTTTATAAAATTTTAAGCTTTTTCTCGATTAGCTTCTGAACTTCTAATGAAAGAGAGTATTTTTTTTATACAAAAACTTTGTCCAAGCGGCTTTTCTTTGAAAGTTCTAAGGCGAACTGAATCAAAATTTTATTTACAATTGAATAGTTTTTTTAAAGAGTGAAAGCTAAAAATTGCGGTACTCCGTCCACTTTTATACAAATATCTTCGAAGCCACTTAACAGATTACAAGCAATTTTGGAACCTTGAATCTAAGTTCGGTGTAAAAATTTTGAAACCAATTACCACGCCCCTTTTATGTATAAAATACCAATTTTGACCATTCTAAATAATATACAATATAATACTTTTAAACTTTAGATATAAATACTGGTCATTTTGAGCAATACTAATAATTAACTCTCAAGTAAGTAAATACCATTATAAAACAGCTGATAATTGAAACAACAACGTTGGCGGATGGTTTTAACAGCAACAACTTCTGTTGCGGTAAAAGTTACTTCATTTCGAATTTAGAACTTCCTTGTAGTATTTGAATTAATTAATTTTTATTGCCAATAGCGTTTAGAAAACGAAAATCAGGTGATGAGCAAATGACGCCAGAAAAGAGAGAGAGAGAGGTAGAAAGATCTCGACTGCAGTGGCAGTAGCGCTAGTCAAGTGACAGCCTCTAAACGATAAAAATCTCATAAAAGATGCACAATTTTAATCGTTTTTTAATTGATTTGTTTTGTTTATGCGCGCGTGCGCACAACCACGTCAACGCCAAATGCAAAGCGATGATCTGTAGAAAATGAATTTGTCGTGAATGTCGCGCGATTGCTTGGGATATTTTATGGGATTTCAGTTTTTCCATTTCGAATATTTATTTCTATTTTGGAATGTGTGCTGGCATTTAACTTATTACTATTTTTAGTTTAAGTAATTTATGCAACTTGGTTTTTAAGTCAGTGTAATTGCTTATTGTTTATAATTTTTCGTCTAATCTTTTTAACCTCAAATTTCAATCAGTTACATATTTTATTTCTCACTTAGTTTGGGGTTGTTTTTTAATAGCTAAGCAATTGGGTATAGCAGGATGTTTCGAAGCTTGCTGCTTAAAGGGTGTTTCAAGTAGTTTTTGTAAATTTTGATTTTCCATAAAAAAAACTGCAAAAAAATAGTGTACTAGTGTATGAGTGGATTTTCTAGAAAAATTCCAAATCTATTTCTATTTTTTCTAATTTTACAATTCAAAAGTATTTCAACAATTTAAGTTAAATTTTATCGAATTTAACACTGCGCAATTCAAATACAACGACAAACCCCGTTATTAGAAGAAAAATCCGCCAAGTTTTATTTAAAATGATAATAATTATCGGATCCAAGTAAAAATTGTATTACATGGATTAGATAATGGTCTCTATAAGCTTAAGAACCCTAACCTTAGGAAAAACTTGATTTTAACGATTAGAAAGTATTATGTCGACATGTTATCCCCATAACTGACTCCAAACGAAAAGATCCCTTGAGTGGTTTTGCCATAATAAAAATTAAGATTAGCCCGAACTCACCCTTGTCGAGACATTAATACATTAGGATAGGCCGGTGCCCAAGAAGCGGTTAAAATTACATAGAGAGTTGATTACTTGACAAGGATATTTGGAATACTTGACCTATTTTGATATACCTGTTTCCAAATCTGTTTAACTGCATGATCGGTGAAAAATTTGGATCGTACGAATCGGCGATGATTGACTAAACGTCTACATTGTTCACTTTCAAAAGATTTGGTACCACTACAATAATATTGTCAGTAATCTCTTTCTTTTACGCAAAATATGGGTTGCAACTTATCTAAATTAATTATAGTAATACCTGAACCTAAAAGTAGTAATTAGGCTACATAAGAACCCCAGAATACTCAAAATGCAATCGACCATGTTTCTTTTGGGAATATTTTGTATCAGTTGTTTAATTTTTCCAATTAAAAAGATGCTAAGAAACAATTTCATAAGTTTTACACTAACGGTAGTCGCTTTCGAGACGCCAATTATCTACTCGTTGTGTTCAAGATCTGCTCTCTTGTTGTTGTATTGTTGCAGAGACAAATCTATCTCATTATACTGGTACCTACTTCTCTCTCTCTCTCTTTCTCTGTACCCAATTATATCAGTCTTTGTAATTATTATCAGTTGTTGGTTGATTGGTCATTCTCAAAGGTTTGGCGAACAGAAGTTTACAAATAGTTATTAAATGTAACTATAAATAAATAAGTTAGCAAGTTTTAATTGCAACACCCTTTATTGACAGCCAGTGAAGTGTAAATATGTAATTTCACCCCAGCCATTCCGCTTGTCAGTTAGTTAATCCAACCGATTCCACATACATACATATATACTATACTATGTAATATTCGTATAACGGCGAGCTAACGAATTTCACAAAGCGCAAATGTGTGTGAACCATTTTTTTCTCTTTTTTTGATGTCATTCTCGTTAGTTGCTCTATTTACCTGTCATTCAGTAGTTAGTTGCATTGTTATTGTTATTGTTATATGTTTATTTTTATAATTTACTGCATTCGCTTATGAGTTTTATTGCGTTGCGTTTTTTTCATGCCGCAGCCTTGTCCTTAAAATGTTTTCCTTGGCAAAAAATGCGTTACAACAATCTTTTTATAACAACAACAACGCAATATTGAAAAACTGGAAAATTTAAAGAACTGTTTTTTTTCGACGAAATCTATTTAGATCCACCTAGTTGTATTTACTAATTTGGTCTTGAAATAGCAGTGGATGTTCAGAGAGATTAGTGATCGTAAAGTTCTTAGTTCTAAAAACATAAATGAATCCATTATACCATATTCAGTCTCTTCAATAATTCAACATTTAAATTTTAAACTTATTATTTGACAATTAACACTAATTGTCTATCATTTTTATGACCTTAGCAAAAGCAGATTATTATTAGAAGCCTATCTACTTTCCAAAAGATCTTTTAATAGCCAGCTAAGAAAGTTTTAACAATATAATCGTAATTTCAATCAAATTTATAAAAGCGTAACTAATTAACTGACAATTAGTGTTTAATTGACTGTCAATTTGCTTTAAACTACCTAAATAAAATAAAATATTAGTAAGATCAATCAAGAAAGATATATCAACAGAAAGTCTATATAAAAGCATTTCATAAAACTGATTTGAAAAAAATTTAAATTAAGAGAATTTACATAGGAAGAACTAATGATTCTTGAGTTACTACACAATTCTTTTTGCTTTGCGCAAAGTAATAACGCGATCAAAACTCTATGTTATGGACCGAATTAGTTTTATATTTCTTTAATGAACTATTTTAAATTTGATTTTTTCTCATAGAAATGTTTTTACTAAAAAAATATTAAGAATTGTCGGCTGTCAAAAATTCTGGAATATATTAAATTGATCATTTATAAACAAAGAATTCGTTGGTTCAATTCACAACCTAATTGTCTTAACCAATTCAAAAGCTTGAACATACATTTGTAAAAGAACTATCCACCAAAACTAAAGTAGAGTACCGGTACAAATTGAAATTTATTTGGATAATTTTTTCTAATAAGATAACAATATAGAATTGAGCAAAGAATTGACACCAATGATATGTACGTTTAAGTCCAGCAAACTATAACAAATTGGTATATCCAGCAGTTACAGCAGTCGTATTTAAGAATTTCCGTTTCATGTCGAAAATTACTTTTTAAAATTTAGATAGCAACTATTTATAAGTATAACATGTTACATCCGAAATTAGCCCTTCCTTACTTGTTTTCTTTACGTTTACATACCGCAGCTAACTGACTTAATTAAGATGCCAACTGAAAGGCATATAAGAGGAAGAAAACAAATAAGAAAAGTTTGAAACCAAATAACGGGCTCTCTCTCTTTCTCTTGAAGAAAATATAATATTTAATTAAATCACATTTAATATATATTATAAGTCCCAGCTATTGACATTTACTCCTTTGTTCTTTGTTATTACAATTGTTT